TAGAAAGCAATAGATTTCTTGCTTCTGCCACAAATTCCCCCAGCTGTGAGCCTTCCAACCTTCTAAGTCTTCTTTTATATGTTCAGAGTTCTGGGACCATCCCCTGAGCCTGCTTGGTCGGGTATTCTGTGTTGTTGTTGGCAGAGCTCTCTGCTATACGTCCACCTGATCCGCCATCTTGTTTTTTCCTTTTCCATGAGCTTTTTGATCTCAAGGGAAGGATTTTAAGATAGGGGAGCTTTGAGCCTGTATGAATGTCTGTGGTAAGAATCTATTTGAGGGTTGGAAATGAGAGGGCTAATGTTCAGTGTTTCTCAAAATCCTCATGTTGCTATTCCTTCCGTCTCTTCTCTTGGCGATTAAAAACAAAGGGAGAAACTTGGGTTGTCACTGCTCTCTTAGTCCCAGGATCCAGCCCCCACAATGGAGTTGGCAGTGGCGATTCTGAAGGACCTGCTCCGATATGCAGCCCAGCTTCCTGTGCTCTTCCGCGACATCTCCATGAACCACCTCCCTGGCCTTCTCACTTCGCTACTGGGTCTCAGACCAGAGGTGAGCCCCTCTTCCTAAATCTGATCTCATTTATACAAAGGCTTTGGATTAAAGAATGTAATGGGGAGTAATTGTAGAATGGAATAGAAGAAGTGATAAAAGGTAGGGGCCCAGAAAAGGTGGTTGTATAGAGAATGCCCTTAGGGGACGTGTGGGGTGGGGTGACAGTGGGGGTGGTGCACTCGTATAGCCTCTTCCTTTCTGTGTTTTACAGTGTGAACTTTCAGCACTGGAGGGAATGAAAGCTTGTATGCTCTATTTTCCTCGGGCTTGTGGTTCTCTCAAAGTAAGTATTCATGGAAATGCCTCTCTCATCAACACAATTCTTTCTGTAGCTTCTATTTCTGAAATGTCTAAGCACCTAAATTCTGATTGTTTTTAAGAATTACTGATTTTCCTCACTGGGACAGTGATGGTCCAGTGGTAGAATACTTGCCTTCTTGCTGGTAATCTGGCCAGTGCACCTCATGCGTAGTCACTACCCAGTAGACGCTTGCATGTTACTATGATGCTGAGCAGGTTTTAGCAGAGCTTCTAGACTAAGACAGCTAGGAAGAAAAGCCTGGTGATCTGTTTCCACAAATCAGCCAGGGAAAACCCTGTGGATCACAATGGTCTGCTGTGGATCTGACCATGGGATGGTGAAGGACTGGGCAGCATTTTGTTCCATTGTGTGTGGGGTGACTAGGAGTTGGAGGCTGTCTTGATGGTAGGTACCAACAATGTCATCTCCACACCTATAATCATATCACTGTATGTAGCACTTAGTTACCTCACATAATCCTCTCAGATGAAGAAATTGAAATTCAGTAACTTGCCAAGATCAGTAAGGATCCGAAACCATAACTATGATCCAAAGCCCAGATCCTTAACTGTGGACTTCTTTTTCCTTCTACCTGGACTTCTCTCTACTTCACGAATGCCTTGCCCATTTTGCTGCCATTCTAATTGTATTTGTTCCTGGAACTCTTGTAATGTCCTCAAGGAAGCCATCTAATTTAGCACTTTCCTATGATGTCCAGTCCCGGGGCAAGGACATTGTGCTTGGTGTAAAGTAAAAGTGGGTTCTTAACGGTTGTGAGGCTGGACTGGGCTTTGTTTCTTTCTGTTGTATATAGCGTCGATTTGAGTCAGAACCAACTCAATAGCACTTAACAACAACAACAACGTGACAGCTTACCTAATACTCCTCTCTCTGTGTATGAGGTTGTTGCTGCTAGGATCCCAGCTCATGCATATATGACATTATTCCAAATCAAATGTGTTTAAACGTATTTCTGCAAGCAATGACTATGACTGCAGACAAGTTTGCTTGTCTTGAGTCTTGTTGAGGTGCCTTCCCCCCAAGAAAAGGTCCAATCAGAACAGCGACTTCTGAGGGATCCTGGGGGGCCAGTTCAGTTCAAGGCAGGGATTAGCTCAGAAGGTTATGGTGGTGGTTTTTTGGGATTCCCAAGGGTTCATCTTAAAGGACGCAGGATGATCATTTGTTGTTGTTGTTAAGTGCCATAGAGTCAGTTCCGACTCATAGCGACCCTGTATAGGGTTTCTGAGGAGTGGCTGGTGAGCTTGAACTGCTGGCCTTGCAGTTCAAATGGACCTTGCAGTCCATTGTATTAACCTATAGAGCCACATCAGGACTCCCAGGATGATCACAGTCGTTGTAAAGTGCCATCGAGCCGGTTCTGACCCATAGCGATCCTGTATAGAGTTTCCAAGGAGTGACTGGTGAGCTTGAGCCACCGACCTTGTAGTTCAAACCGACTTTGCAGTCCAACTCATTAACCTGCAGTGCCACACCAGGACTCCCAGGAAGATCATAGGGGCTTTTTAAGAAGAAGTTTTAAGAAAAATGAAAAGTACATTGGTGAGAAAAAGGCCAGGAAAGTTGTGTCTTAGAATTTTTTCTTCATGACATTGCGCCTGCTCCTTCTTTGAAGATAGGCCGAGCTGTCCTATGAGAATTTTGTTGGGAGACCTTACCCCATTCACCCTGCAGCCCTGATCTTTAATAAAGGGTTCTATGATTTTTGTAGCAATACTTTTTGACTTACCCCCTCCTTTTTTTTTTTTAAACTAATCTACTTCTGTCACCTAGGAGCTCTGGTAGCGTAGTGGTTACGAATCGGGCTGCAAACCTTAAGGTCAGCAGTTCGAAACTGCCAGCTGTTACGTGGGAGAAAGGTGAGGCTTTCTGTTCCCACAAAGATTTACAGCCTCGGAAACCCTGTACAGGATTGCTATGGGTCGGAACCGACTCCACGGCACATAACAACAACAACTTCTGTCACCTACCCATACTGTTCCCCACGCTTTCATGACCTGTATAAGGTACAGCAAAATCTTAATAGAATCAACAGGCAGGGGTTTGTAGCTCAGGCAAGGGAGAGGACAGTGAACGGATTATAGTTTTGTTTTCTAGGAGATAAACAACAATGAATGGCCAACAAATTCTAAAGCAGTGAAAGTTAAAGGCCCATTTATAATTAGCACAGTGGTTTGCAGGAAAAATTGGATGCCTACTAGTACTTGGAGTCCTGGCGTGGCGCGGTAGGATAAGCACTCATCCACAAGATTGGTTTGAACCTTAAGATTGGTGATTCAAACCCACCAGTTGCTCCTTAGAAACCCTATACAGGGTTGCTGTGAGTTGGAACCTACTCGACGGCACTTAACAACCTAGAATGATTCATTCTTGGAAAATCTTGTGTTGTACTACTCGTTGCCTTCTTACTCAAATGGAAGTACACATCTATCGGGCTGGAATTAGCTTTTTGTTAATAACTAGTATGGCAACAGCAGCGGTCATTACAGTGATCAATTAAGTGAGTTTGCCATTCCATTTGTCTTGAAAATAGCAATATAGGGTTCTGTGAGCTAATCAAAGGAGCCCTGGTGATGTCATATTTAAGTGCTCAGCTGCTCTCCGAAAAGTTGGCAGTTCAAACCCACTAGGTATTCTGTGGGAGACAGATGTGGCAGTCTGCTTCCATAAAGATTTATAGATTTAGAAACCTTATGGGACAGTTGAACTCTGTCCTATAGGATCTCAATGAATCAGAATTGGCAATAGTGGGTGTCTGATCAGATCAAGAGAATAAGTCCTCAAAGAGTTAGCTACATGCAGTAATGTATGCTGCATTAAGTCGTATAAGAGGCAGGGAATTTATTTAGTGAACCTCCATGGCTTTAGTAACTGGCAAATTGCAGTTTTTGAAATATCCCTGAGTAGGTAATCTGTATTGGAAGAAATCTAGTCAGAGTACTCCCTGGAAGCCAGGATGGCCAGCTCTTGTGTTTCATACTTTGGACTTATTGTCAGGAGGGACCAGTCCCTGGAGAAGGGTATCACGTTTAGTAGAGTGGAGGGTCAGAGAAAAAGAGGAAGACCCCCCCAATGAGATGGATTGGTACAATAGCAGCAGCAATGAGCTCAGGAATAGCAACGATTGTGAGGTTAACCCAGGACCAATGTTTCATTCTGTTGTGCATAGATGCTGTGAGTTGGTATCAACTTGATGGTATCTAACAACAGCAGCAGATGATGTTTCAGTGAACATGGAGCCATATCCTTGTTGTTTATTTTCATATGGATACTGTTAATCTAAGAGATAGACTCTTTGGGAAGGCAGGGCAGGACTTCCGTTAAGGAGGATTTGGAGCAACCCATGGAATTAAACTGAACAAAAACCTCCCTTGTAAAATATTCTCTAAGTTAGACTTTTCAAATGAAACAAGTCGATCTTTGTCTCTGACTCCCTTCCTAGTCAGCATTTGTGAGGTTCTATAAATGTCTGGCACTGTAGAATAAAGCACTGGACCACAATGTAGAGTCTGTTTAAACTGCAAGGTTGGTGGTTCAAACTCACCAGCCGCTCCTTGGAACCCCTATACAGGGTTGCTATAAGTTGGAACTGACTTGACGTCATTTAAGAACAACAATGACAAATGTCTGTTTTCATTTTGCTTTGTTTGGTATTCTCTGTATCTTGGGTGGATGGGGATTGGGTGTTACTTGCAGGCCAGAGATTTGAACATTCATGGAGACTAGAGTGCAAAGTGTCTCCTCCTAATTTTCAATGTGAGTGGTAAGGAGAGCCCATCTATAATCTACAACCTTATGTCAGATGTATTTACTTTTTGAATTTATGGCCTGGTTATTTTTGAGCACCAATTCTAAACCAAACAAAGCTTTCAAAAACTATTAATAAGATGTGTATGCTTTTATTTCTCTAAGAATAAAATGTCACTTAGAGACCTGTTCTCAGTTGGGGGTTTTGGGCTTTCTCTGTTGCCAGCATGTCACATGAGATCTGTTTTGTGCAGAGACCCTAGAGGCTATTTATTCTTGTAAAATATTGTGGACCCAGTTCTTGGGAAACTGATAATTGCCATTTCACAGTGTTTGGACCTAGAGTGATTCATTCTTGGAAAATCTTGTGGACCCAGTTCTTAGGAAACTGATATTGCCATTTGCAAGTGTTTATCTGGTCCGTATCCCATCCCTCAGAAATCCTTGGAGCAGTTACAGTTGCCAGCATCAAGGTAACGCCCCTCAAATGATGCTTTTCAAGCATTCTGAGTCCATGAAGTAAATTCATATAGGAGCTTTACCTCATCTCCTACTCCTTGCCAAATTGATGAAGTAATTCCTTGGAAAGAGTGGGAAAATGAATTCCACTTATGAGAGACACACATATTACATTTATTGTGTGTTTGTTTTGAGTGAAATGTTCGAAGTGAGCTGTTACTAGGGTTTGCTTTGTGGGTTCTCCGGAGCACACCTTGTAGTCAGAGCTGTGCCATTTTACTCTGCTTCTTTGCAGTCAGATCAGACTTCTTTTGGTCTCAGCTCAGTGTTTTGAGTCAGTCAGTTCCATCTCTTAGGAAAAGATGGCTAAGAGGCCTGAGCGCCACTATCATTGTGGTGTTGGCAGCTCTGAAAGAGCCAGTGAGTTAGGAAACCTGCAAGTAGTGACTCTTGTTTGGTTTGAAGTGTTCCAAAACCCAACAACATTAGACATTAAAGTCCCAAGGGAGGGTCTAGATCTTCTCCTGCCCGTAGTTTTGTGGTTAGTGAGAATCCTGAAGTCGAACATGGAAAACTTGATGTGATTCCTGCCCCAGTGTAGGTAAAAGGACTCGTTTCCGAACCACTCCCTGCTGGAGCCTTGTGCTTTTAATACCCACCACTGCTCATTTGTCTTACAAAAGTTGACCTATCTGGAGTTTAAGATCTCACTGTTTCTCTGGCATCTTCTGATTGGTCCCTTTCCTTAACGTTGTTCCTGCCTACTCCTGTCTCATCATCTGGATGTAGCCCTTTGTTTACCATGTATGCTGCCAATGGTGGGTCAAGTTACTGTTTTCTCTACAGTTATTTTGACTAACTCCTAACTGCCTCTGAAGGTGGAAATCATGTATGATGCCTTTCAAGATAGCTTGTGCAGGATTCTTAACCCTGCCATGGGCCACTTCTGACAATGTTGTTGTTAAGTGCTGATGAGTCGATTCCAACCCATAGTGACCCTGTATAGGGTTTCTAAGCAGCAGCTGGTGAGCTTGAACAACCGACCTTGTAGTTCAAACGACTTTACAGTCTGACGCATTAGCCCACAGCACCACACCAGGACTCCGTTCTGAGAATACTACTCTTAAATTTGTAAAATAAAACAAGTAGATTGCAGAGTAGGGTTCTGCTGAAACCTAGTTATCAAAACATAATATAAAATTGTGGTGTTATTGTTAGGTGCCATTGAGTAGGTTACTGACTAATAGCAACCCTGTGCACAACAGAACAACAGAATGAAACACTGCCTGATTGTGATGATGTTGTTGTTATGTGCTGTTGAGTCGGTTCCGACCCATAGCGACCCTGAGCAGGGTTTCCGAGGCTGTAAATCTTTATGGGACCAGAAAGCCTCATCTTTCTCCCGCAGAGCAGCTGGTAGTTTCGAACTGCTGACCTTGTGGTTTGCAGCCCAATTCTACGCTACCAGAGCTCTCTGCCTGATTGTGATAGACTTTTATTAAACATGAAATAGCAAAATCTTGCAGTAGGCCTTAATACCGCCCATCATTTCAAATTAGTGATACACGTGAGTGGTGCCTGAAGTATCTACTGTAATGTGAAGTGAAGATAGGGGTTTCTACTAGTGGCAGCCACAGGTACTGCTAATAGTGTAGTTGATTGTCTGCATTTGTAATGGAAGGAAATACTGCATTTCACTTAGAGGCTAGTGAAAATAAAGATTGAATTGTTCCCCCTCCATGTGCCCAGGCTCCTATAAATCGTGGACCCCAGGCTCAACAATTCTGCTCTGGCTGCTCTGAGATTGGCCGCCTTGGGTCGGGTTCATTGGCCTCCTTTTCTCTTTGACCTTGTTTTGTGCCTTCAGTGCTGGTTTCTGTGCGTCAGTTTGTATGGGTGGTTTCAGGAAGATGATGGTGTCATTTTATAGAAACTGGCTACAGAGAGCCCTTTTGGAGGTGGGGCAGGGGTTAAACTTTATTTTTCCCCAGGACAAGGACGCTAAAGACAAGAACATACGTCTTGATTGTCCTTCCTCCACTGAAGCATGTGTGCTGCCAGGCATCGATATCCTTAGAGGGCTTGTCTTCCTGTGTCTGCAGGAAAGGAAAAGGCAAGGGCATGGACAAGAGTGTGTATCTGTGTCCCTTTGAGCTGATTCACCAGTCTCTTTTCTTTCCCCCCCAAATCCAGGGCAAGCTGACCTCCTTTTTCTTGTCTCGAGTGGATTCCTTGAGTCCTCATCTCCAGCAGGTAAAGGAAAAGGGGAGGGGTGTGGAAAGAATTGGAGCTTTAGCCTGGGGTTTCTCATCTTATGCCTCTTAGCTTTCTCTTTGTTACTACTTCTAGACCAGGAGTGGGGAACCTTTTTCTGCCAAAATTTACAACATCATTCGCAGGCCGTACAAAATTATTAACTTAAAAATCAACCTGATAAATTTGGTCAAACCTTTAATTAGCTTACCCCTAATGGAGTCCTGGTGTGGCGCTGTGGGTTAATGTGCTGAGCTGCAAAGTTGGTTTGAACCACAAGGTTGGTGGTTCCCCACCCCTCCATTCTGGACCATATTCCCATTTCCCACCTGTTAACACCCAGCATGTCTGTCTGTGCCATCTTCTCATCTGTGTCCTGCTCGTTGTCCCTTAAAGATATTTCCCTCAGAGCTCTCTTTGATCTCCAACTTTCTTGGGCATTTGTGGGGCGGGAGGATTCTCTGGCTGGGACTGATTCCATCTGACCGGATTTTGGATGCTTCTGCAGTTGGCCTGCGAGTGTTACTCCAGGCTGCCTTCCTTAGGAGCTGGCTTTTCCCATGGTCTGAAGCACACAGAGAGCTGGGAGCAGGAGCTGCAGTGCCTGATGGCCTCACTTCACAGCCTGCTGGGCACCCTGTACGAGGGAGCGGAGACAGGTAGGGACTAGGACTGGGAGCCTGTGGGGAACCTTGCAGGAGGGAAGGAAGAAAGACATCACGGATGAAAGGCGCTGTGTTTCCCTCTAGCTCCTGCGCAGTATGAAGGGCCTGGAGTAGAGACGCTGCTGCCCCCCTCAGAAGATGGTGATGCCCATGCGCTCCTCCGACTTCGGCAGAGGTTTTCTGGACTGGCCCGCTGCCTGGGCCTCATGCTCAGGTGTGTGTGTGTGTGTGTGCGCACTCGGGGCACATGGACCAGCCAGGGACTGGAGCAGACAGCTCTGCGCTGGAGGAGTGATCTTCATCATGAAGAAGGAGATTGAGAGCGACTGTGGAGTCAGGCTGAGCCTCTGGGCTAAGGCTCGCCCCATTCTGATTCTCTCTGTAGCTCTGAATTTGGAGCTCCTGTGTCCGTCCCTGTGCAGGAAATCCTGGATCTCATTTGCCGGACCCTCAGCATTAATGGCAAGAATATTGTAAGTAGAGTTTGTTACCTATTCATAGCCCTGTGTCAGAATCCAGCAAAACTCAAGAAAGCACTGGAGGATCCTGAAGCCGCCCAGCAATGCCATCCTTCCAGTTCGTCTCAGATGACTCCTGATGTTTGTCCAGATACCACTGCTCTTTGTTCTCCCCAGACACATGTGCACACTGGTGGTTGGGTTTTCTCAAACGTGCATTGGAAGCACCTGTAGCCAAATGCTTCTCCAAGTGGGAAGGATGAATTTGGGTTCCGCTGAGTCATTGCTGAGAGGTTCAGCGTTTCCTCCCCTTCCCTTCTTTTCAGGGTCTACTTTAGAGAATGGGGGTTTGATTTTGTTAAGGGGTCAGAAGGTGGGGTACCTTACAGATGTATACACACCGGTGTCTAGTCATACTGAAGTGTCTTCATGACTGTCTCTCTCTCTCTCTCTTTCACTTTCTTCCCCTACTTGTTTTTGCTCATTCTTTGTTTTTCCCCCTAGAGCTTGCTGGGAGATGGTCCACTGCGGTTACTGCTGTTGCCCTCAATCCACCTTGAAGCCTTGGACCTGCTCTCTGCCCTCATCCTTGCGTGAGTGTGATCGGGCAGGCTGTGACGAAGGGACTGGGACATGCTGGGCATGAGGACTCAACATCCTGTCTCTGCCTTCAGGTGTGGCAGTCGGCTCTTGCGCTTTGGGGGCTTGATCATCCGCCTGCTCCCCCAGGTCCTCAATTCCTGGAGCATGGGTAGGGATATTCTCGCTGCAGGCCAGGAAAGACCTTACAGGTGACCATCAAGGAAGGGAATAAAGAGGAGTGGGGAAGAGGATGCAGCTGGGTGGGGGCTCAGAGGGACTGGGTGTCCTAAGGGAGGGAGAGGCAGGACGAGGTGGATTGACCCTCCCTCCATGATCTCTCTGTGTTGCTCCCACTGTAGCACTGTACGGGCCAAAGTTTATGCTGTCCTGGAGCTGTGGGTGAAGGTGTGTGGACCCTCAGCAGGAATGCTCCAGGGAGGAGCCTCGGCAGAGGCTCTGCTCACCCACCTGCTTACTGACATCTTTCCCCCAGCCGATACCCTCAAGGTGAGTGATCTTGTTTCGGCCCAGCACTCATCCTTAGTTCTGTTGTGCTCCCTCACCAACCATGCTCTCGCTACTGCTCTGGCTTCCTGCTTGCCTGCATATGTGATTTATGGTTCTCTCCACCCCGCAGCTGCGCAGCCCCCGAGGGAGTCCTGATGGGGGTTTGCAAACTGGAAAGCCTAGCGCCCCCAAGAAGCTAAAGCTGGATGTCGGGGAGGCAGTAGCCCCGCCTTGCCATCGGAAAGGGGATAACAATGCCAACAGTGATGTTTGTGCAGCTGCACTGAGAGGTGGGTGAGGGCAGCCCTTGGGCCTTAGGCCTCTGCGGTGGCCTGGGGTTAGGGTCCCAAGCCAGCTGGGGAAGCTGAGTAGGTCAAATGAAGAGCCAGGTGAACGCCTGCAGATGGAGGAGCAGAAGCCACCATGTCCTCCTCTTTGTGCAGAAGCTCGGTTCCTGATATTAGGTAGGGATTCTGGTCATTCGTACGGCCCCTCCAAGACCTCACTTGAGTCATGTATTTAACACACATACATATATTATTTGTATAGCTACTCTGTATGTTAAGTGTTGTTTTAGGCACTGAGGGAAAAATCCCTTCCCTTAGTGGGGCTAACGTTCTCCCAAGGTCAGGTTACCTAGTGGTTCCCTCTGCTTCCAGAATACTCTCACATTTGTAAGCAGAAGTTTCTAGTCTGGTATTATACAGTGAATGGGTGACTATCTTTTGGTCCCATATTTTTCAGTCTGCCCCTTCAGCCTCTGTAAGGAGATCTGTTGTTGTTAAGTGCCATCGAGTTGACTCTGACCCATAGCAACCCTGTATAAGGTTTCCAAGGAACAGCTAGCTATTCCCAAATTTGTGTGTTAAATACACAAATACATATATAGATAAATCTTTATAATATTTTACATAATTATCTCATTTGAATGTTGTCAACAGTCTTAAGTAGCAGAAGCACTCATTTTTCCTAAAGCTTTTATTGTGAATTGAGTGATTGTTTGCATGGGAGAACATCGGTTTAACACATCATATTGTATTTTGTTTCATTGCATTGATTACAATCCCCTCCATGCGTCATTGTTCAACAGTATTTGCTTCTGTTTCCTCTTGAGTTTTTTTTTTGATGTACACAAAAATACTCAGGAATATATAACCATTAAAACAACCAAAGGGCACATTCTGCAAGCCTGTCTCCTGGCTGCCAGCACATAGCCTTTCTCTTTCCCTGAGTCTAGAGTCCTCAGCTGCTCCCTCTCTCCATGTCCTCAATGCTGCCTCCATCTCTGGTGTTGCTGTTTCTCTGTTTAGGGTCCCACATTCTGCTCATGCTCTTCATTCTTGATGGTCCTAGGGTCTTCTGTTCTTAGAAAATAAGATTAATTACTCTCCCCTGGCACTTTTTCTTTAATGACTTCAGACAAAAGTACTTTTCAGTTTTTCACATTATAGTTGAGACAGTAGATTCAGAGTGGTTAACCAGCTTACTCATTCTTAGGCCTTTACACACCCTCTCTCCTCCCCAGGCCTCAACTGGACCATCCTTATGTGTGGGCCTCTCATCAAGGAGGAAACTCACAGGGTGAGTGGACCCTGTGCTGCACCCATGGCAATAGTGCCCTGGGGATGGGCTGGTTGGCTTTGGTGATGTTTCTAAGTGCACTGCCTATCGCTTGCAGAGACTGCATGATCTGGTCCTGCCCTTGGTCATGGGTGTCCAGCAAGGTGAAGTCCTAGGCAGTTCTCCATATACCAGCCCCCACTGCCGCCGAGAACTCTACCGTCTGTTGCTGGCACTGCTGTTGGCTCCTTCTCCTCGATGCCCACCTCCTATGGCTTGTGCCTTGCAAGCTTTTTCCCTTGGCCAGCGAGAAGACAGCCTTGAGGTGAGTCAGCCTCTGGTTTCTGATGCTGTGGGCTCTCCCTGACACCTGTGTTCCTGGTGCTCACACTTGTTCCTTCTTCCTCAGGTCTCCTCTTTCTGCTCAGAAGCAATGGTGACTTGTGTGGCTCTGACCCACCCCCGGGTTCCTCCCCTGCAGTCCATGAGCCCCACCTGCCCCACACCTGCCCCAGTCCCCCCTCCTGAGGCCCCATCTCCATTCAGGGCCCCACCCTTCCATCCCGCGGGCACCATGCCCTCCCTAGGCCCCATGCCCTCAGCAGGCCCCATGCCCACAGAATGCCCAATGCCTTCAGCACGCCCTGGACCTCCAGCCACAGCCAACCACCTAGGCCTGTCTGTCCCAGGCCTGGTGCCTCTACCCCCTCGGCTCTTGCCTGGCCCTGAGAACCACCGGGCAAGCTCCAATGAAGACCCAGTCCTTGCTCCTAGTGGTAGTCCTCCTCCTATAGCCCCTGATGAGACCTTTGGTGGGCGAGTCCCCAGACCAGCTTTTGTTCACTATGATAAGGAGGAGGCATCTGATGTAGAGATTTCCTTAGAGAGCGACTCTGACGACAGCGTGGTGATTGTGCCTGAGGGGCTGCTGCCTCTGCCACCCCTTCCCCCCTCGGGCACCACACCTCCCCCCGTGGCCCCAGTTGGGCCACCAACAGCTTCCCCACCTGTGCCAGCCAAGGAGGAGCCAGAAGAGCTTCCTTCAGCCCCAGGGCCCCTCCCACCACCACCACCCCTTCCTGTTCCTGGTCCAGTGACACTCCCTCCACCTCAGTTGGTCCCAGAAGGGACTCCTGGTGGAGGAGGACCCCCAACCCTAGAAGAAGATTTGACAGTCATTAATATCAACAGCAGTGATGAGGAGGAGGAGGAGGAAGAGGAAGAAGAAGAAGAAGAGGAGGAGGAAGAGGAGGAGGAAGAAGATTTTGAAGAAGAAGAAGAGGAAGAAGAGTATTTTGAAGAAGAAGAAGAAGAGGAAGAAGAGTTTGAAGAAGAATTTGAGGAGGAGGAAGGTGAATTAGAGGAAGAAGAAGAGGAGGAGGATGAAGAGGAGGAAGAAGAATTGGAAGAGGTAGAGGAAGTGGAGTTTGGCTCAGCAGGAGGGGAGGTGGAAGAAGGTGGGCCTCCACCTCCGACCTTGCCTCCAGCACTGCCCCCCTCCGAGTCCCCCAAGGCACAGCCCGAGCCAGAACCAGAGCCTGGGCTGTTGTTGGAAGTGGAAGAGCCTGGGGCAGAGGAGGAGCCTGGGGCTGAGATGGCCCCCACACTGGCCCCCGAGGTACTCCCCTCCCAGCGGGAGGTGGAAAGGGAGGAGGGAAGCCCCCCGGCGGCAGAGCCTCCTCCACAGGAGCTTATTGAAGAAGAGCCCTCTGCCCCCACAACCCTGCTGGAAGAGGGTACTGAGGATGGGGGTGACAAGGGACCACCCCCACCAGAGACATCTGCTGAAGAGGAGATGGAGACTGAGGCAGAGACAGCAGTTCTCCAGGAAAAGGTAAGAGAGCCAGCTCGGCAGCTTGTGTGGGAAGGGGGAGCGGGGAGAAGAAAGAGGCTTGTCCCAGTGTGGCCCACTCTTCTGTGTGTGACTGCTTAAGTCTGGTGTCTTTGTCCCTAAAAGGAGCAGGATGACACAGCCGCCATGCTGGCCGACTTCATTGATTGTCCTCCTGATGATGAGAAGCCACCACCTGCCACACAGCCTGATTCTTAGCCCTCTCCTGCACCCTTCCGCGTTTCCAATAAAGTTCTGACCTTAGATAATGACTGCTGCTTCTACCTTTTGTCAACTGTGTACCCAGCTAAAAGCCCAAGCGTCTACTGGGTTTTTCAAGGTCCCATATTTATTCCCCAAGTACCTCCAGAATGGTTCTGTTGTCTCCATTGTCCAGAGAGGAACCATTGACCTTTAAGGGTCATGAGGACTGTCCTGCCATTTAGCAAGCTGGTATCAGAATTTTAGAATTCTTGTCCTCTGCTCTTTCTGATGCTGATCTGTGCTGGATCATCTGTGGTTGCTACAAGGAATTCTGAGATTAATCCTGCTTTCCTGTCCCTCCCTTCCTCCTTGTTTTTAAAAACATTGTGGTGAAAATATACACCAAAACATCCAGCAATGCAACAACTTCCACATTTACAATTCAGTGACACTGGTTACATTTTTCATGCTGTGCCACCATTATCGCCATTCTCATTCAATGTAGCCCTGCTTTTCAGTCTGTAATCCACAGGTAGAAAACGTGCTTAAGTGCCCTAGAGCCTGAGCCTGTGTAAAAGGAACACACATACACACACTTGGTCTTGAAGAGTTATAAAAAGCTCTTAGAGTTATAAAAAGATGTGGAGGAGTTTAGTTAACTGAATTTTGTGAAACTCGAACCTTGGGAATTCCACACTCTTAATGGCCCATCCATAGGAGCTCTGGTAGCGTAGTGGTTACGAATCGGGCTGCGAACCGTAAGGTCAGCGGTTCGAAACTACCAGCCGCTCCGCAGGAGAAAGATGAGGCTTTCTACTCCCGTAAAGATTTACACCCTCGAAAACCCTGTACAGGGTCGCTATGGGTCGGAACCGACTCGACGGCACTTAACAACAACAACAATGGCCCATCCATAGTGGTCTGATCCGGGCTAGTCTTTCCAATTACAACATCCCACTCCTCCCTCTCGCCTTCCTGGCAGAAATTTGATACACTCTCCCCAGGCCTTCCTGGTACTCTTGAGATTTGGAAATTTCCCAGTCATTGTCTGGTCTGTTTAAGCAATTACCGTTACTTTAGGCCTTGCTAAGATGTGCGTATACATGCACGAATCTAAAGTGTGCATGTGGAAAGGTATCAAGCTGTATGGGCTTGAGTGATTTATTCACTCAGCTGATCTTTATTGAAGTATGAACATTAAAAGGTCTTGGAAATACAGAAGAGGACGTTTATTTCAATTCACTATGTTCAAAAAGGCCTCTTGGTGGGATGGTGGTAGTGGTATTTGAACTACATTTTTAAAATTAGAAGTTTAAAAGTTTAAAAAACCTGTTTGAAAAATTTCAAGCCTACAGAATAGTATAGTATATAGCCTTTGTTACAAGAATAGCATAGTATATAGCCCTTGCCTAGATTCATCAGTTGTTAGCAATTTGCCCTGTTTTTATCTTGGTATAACGATATATGTATCTACAACTACATTTTTTGTTGTACTACAAACTTTCTGTAGCCTCCTCATATCTATATACATTGTTTAAGAACAGTGTGAAAGTAAGTTACAGATACAACTTGTTATTAAATTCTTCAGCATTATCTCCTAAGAATAAGTACCTAATCACAGTATTGTTAACAAACTGAAGAAAGGTAACAGTCATTCAATAATGCATAGTGATAGTACATTTTTCCTATTTATCCCTAAAATGTTTTCTAGATGTTTGTCCTGGTGACTCAAGTTTAATAGGTATTTTTTTAGTTGGTCAAGGACATGCAGAGCTTAAGGATCGCTACAAGAGCAAAGTGGCTGACACAGGAAGACCCCTGAGACATTGACTTTTCAGAGTCAAACTCTAGATAGTATAGTTGGCATTGATCATGAAGAAAAGGCAGACAATTTTTTTCTAATTTAAATTGTATTCTGAATACATTCACAAGGTTCAAAACTTAAGGTGCACCCTCAGAGCAAAACCTCCTTCCAAGACTAAGACTAAATGGGAATACACGCTCTGATTGGTGACCACGTTCGTCACCGATAAGGGAAAGTGTGGGAAAAACAGCAATGAAGCTGCGAGCTAAGCCCTACAACGCTCAATAGACTCCTGTGAATCCGGGTTGAGACCTGGTTGGCCAGCAGTGTGGCAAGACCTGGGGACTCTTGGGCCCAGAGTCAGTGACAGCCACAGAGGACTAGAGTGGAGAGTGAAGCGTCCAGCTGATAAGAAGAGCGGGCATATGCACAAGAACACCCACACTTGCAGATAATACCCACTTGACCTGGCTTCAATGACTGGATGATCAGAGCTCAACTAGAAGAAGAAAAGAGGAACAAAGAGTAATCTGATACAATTTTATGAACTTGACCTACACCTATGGATGCAGTAGCTTAAAAGAGGGAACAAATCTTTACAGCGAGGATCATTCCCACCCCCTCCATACACAAAAGTAGACAGGGATGGGCAACTTGAACATTGGCTACCCAAAATGGGGTGTGTGTGTAGCTACAAAGGCAAGAAGTGACTGGCTTACAAGCTTTCAGGAGGGAACCTCGATTCAGAGAGCGTGGAGGAAGGCAGACTCTCCACTGAGTAGTATCCAATCTGTTTAGGCCAGGCTGATGAAATGAAATGCGGATAGGTCTACTTGTGATACAATAGTGAATAATTGATATCAGGACTGATGTGAAGGTTGTAAATGTAAAGGTAGACATTTTGTAGCAAGGAGGGGAGTGATTGACTTTGCAGTCTAGGAGCGGAGGTCCCTGGGACCTTCA